AACGACATCCCCCACGCCCGGCCGAAAATCGGAATATCGAAAAGGATCGCTTCCGCATCGAACTCGATGAGGCACAGGCGCGAGGGGTCATGGTGAATGCGTACTGGGAAGCGCTCCTGGAGCTGTGTTTGAAGGTGACCAACATTCTCTACGACATTGTGAATCCGTTCTCGTACAATCAACATTTGGTCTCCACCTTCAGCCATAGCGGGGTGGCGATGGCGGTGAATATTCTCGGCGAGCGGCATGATGCGGAGGGGAATGTCTTCCTGCTCGTCTCCTTCCGCGGCCGCGACGAGCCGGCGAAGTCGACCTTCGAGGCCTTCGATTCCACCTATGAGGAGACGCTTCAGTTTTCCCCCCCGATATGGGTGCCTTTGGACGATATTCGCCATTTCGCGGAGATCAAGCGCTATTTGAAGCAAATGGAGGAGAGCTTTCCGCACTATTGCGCGGACTCCAACTCCTACGCGGACGCCGGCATGAGTTTGATGGAAAACAGCGATTCCGGCGTCAAGGGCCTCGACGAGGAGGAGCGAAATGCCCTCGAGCAGGAGCTCCGCCGCCTGCCTAAGCGCCACAACAGCGGGCCTTTTGAGAACGGCAGCGGCGCCTTTGCGATGACCCCACAGCACCGAAAAGAACTGCCCCCGATGTTGGACGAAACCCCCGAGAAGACCGACAAACGCGCCTGGCGCGGGTCGCCGGTGCATACCTCGCCCTTCTTCTCCCCCAAACGCCAGGACGTGCGGCGGTTGTTGACGCCTCTCGACCTGGCGAGGGGGGGCGAATTCCCCCCCGCCCCCGGGACCTTGTCGAACAGCCTGCTGGTCCGGAAGATCGCGGCGGGGCTGCCGCTCAACGGCGCTAATACTTTCCCCGCGCGCTTGGGCGAGCCGTGCGAAAAAAAACTGGGCGATACCCATCCCCATCCCCAAACCTCCCACACGCAGTCTTTGGGCGCCCCTTCTCAGCGGTTGACGGCGGCGCCGCCTTGTCAGAGAATCGGCGGCAGCCAGGCATCTTTCTTTCCCAAACTTTCAAACGGCTTGGATTCAAATAATAATTCTAATAAAGGGATGAATTGTCTACAACCTCCCCCTCGTGGGATCGAGGAGCGCCTTGAACGGAAGAACTACCGCCTTAGCGATAGCCAGCGCCTGCAGTACGAGAAGTTTCTTCATCACTCGGCGCTAAGCGCACTGAAAAATAAAGAAAAAATAACCTTGGTGCTTGGAATGGAGCAGGAAATGAAAACCTCACATTAGTTGAAATCATTTTGACTTTTGATAAGGAAGGATTCCATATCAACCTCGAAGACTTTCTTCTATAAAACTTCCTTCCTTTTTATTCTTTTCTGGTAGTCTGCGGCAATGATCCTTTATTATTTCTTATATACTTTCCAAGCTTTTAACCACACTTAGATTTGATTGTATATGTCACGATAAATTTCTTCATTCTTTAGTATTGTTCAATGTACCATACGGTGAAAAAAAAAGAGATTGAATCGGGGGTGAAAAGGCAATTGTGTTGCCTTATTCCTTATTTCGTCTTGCTCAGATCTAAAAGTAAAATCTGTAATTATGCTTATACTTCTAAAAGCGTAAAGAGTACTTTTGTCTTATTCAGTTGCGATGCTGAGAAAGGAAATGTGAGTCCGAGATTTATTAATCCGTATAGCAGATTCTATATGATTGTGTAAAAAGTTTGATGAATGCTTTCTGTTGATCTGCCTTCCTTGTTTAAATGCTATGCTGTTGATATTGAGATGGAAAAAAGTTGGAAGCCAGTGAAAATGTTCAATAGTTTCGACACATTATTTCATTTCATTTTGCATTGAAAAAAAACAAGACACCCATAACTGACCCATCGGAAATAGGTTTGGTTATGCAAACCGCAAAGACAGAATCATTGGATAGAATTATAAAGCTGACAAACGAATTGCGCGTCTACCACAACGACATTCTTAAAAAAATCGATCAAAGGGAGGCCGAGTTAAAACAATTATTATCGGAACTTACCAAGCCTCATGCAAATCCAACCGCACCATCGATTAGGGTATTTTCCGACTTATCACGACAACCCAAAGGCTATTCTCGGATTACATGGAATCAATCCGAGAATCGCGCGCGAACTACCGATCCTACAGGGAACCCACCACTTCCCATCCATAATTTTCCGGTGGACAAAAAAAGAAAGGGCCGCGGCTCCCCTCCCAGCGTCTGTGAGGACCAAAAGACAAAAATGGTGGAAGGAAGGAGCGAAAATTCCTCGTTTAGGTTTAGTTCGATGGATAGCCTGTTGATGTCTCTCACGAACGAGCGGCGGCGCTTCACCGCCACCTCCTACAATTCTGAATATGATCCTAATAGAAAAAGTATTTCTTTTAAAGGACAAAGTTCGACAAAAAATGTATCTTTGGGTCTGGAGGAGTCTCCTATAATTGTATTGGATGAGGAAAATGGCCTTACCTTGAAAACAAACGGTGAGGCTTCGATCGATTCTATTGATCTTTCCCCTATCCCAATGCTCTCTTTCAACCAGAATTTCTCTCTGCAAGAGGAAGAAGAAGTGGGAGAAAAATCGTTCCAAAATGAACTTTTAACCACTGCAGCGCCCCCAAAACGTGTGCGCTTTACCAGCCAAAGCCCTTTGGTCAAGATGTTTTCTGTAGACCCCGGAGCATCTGAAGAGGAAAAAGTAGCACCAAAGGGTTTTGAGAATGAAAAAGACTTTACTAATACGTCAAACACGTCGAATTCGGCAGATTCTTCGCATTCACTGCGTGAGAGTATCCATAATGTCATGGAACATTTAGTGAAGGTACGGAAGTCATTATGCATTGACAAGGAAGGCCGCGAGATCCATCCACAAATCAAATCCTCCTGCAAAGAAGTAAACAAATGCGAAACGCGTAAAGTGGCTCCTTCCAGTTTTCCTTCACCGCCTTTCTCCTTCAATATTGATTCTAAAAAGGGTGGTAATGACAGGGGTAAACAACAAGGAAAAGATTTGCCCTTGAATGAACCTTCGTCGTCTTTGATTCAGACACCACATCTCGACTGCAGAACGTCCATTTCCTCAAAACCTATTTATCTTTCTCCTCCTCCATTGCTATCGACCACCATTATGACGGCTAATACTAACAGTGAGGATGGGCGGGAGGTTGTCGGAGCTCCCGATTGTGTTTCCCCCGCTTATCGTTCGCCGCCGCCAATTTATCTGCATCGATCTTTACGTGAAAAGAAAAGAGACGGAAACGTATTGAAAGCATCCTACACTATTAATCCAATTAGCTATACGGCGGATGGAAATAAAATTTCATCTTTTTCTGATCGCGAGGTGGCCTCGTTAATGGTAGAGAACCACAATTGTTCAAGGGCTTCCCTATTAGCTAATGAGGAAAACGCGCTGTCCTTCCCCTCGTCTTCTCCTCCTTTGCATTTACGCCGGTATGACAATGCGCCGTATGTTTCCCATTTTGGAAAAAAGAAAGGGGGAGTGGGTCAAAATAAATTCACGTCAATAACAGAATCGACCGAAGCGGGGGGAAGTAAATTGGGCGTAACGAAGGCAGCAGGGGAAGCTTTTAGCACGTATTCTCATCAACCATGTTGTACTTCTCTTAGAAATACAACATGTAGAGATGGTCTACCAACCCCTGATATGTTGGCGGGAGGTCCGACGCTTTACTTTACCTAACAGTTTAAATTGTATTTTATTGGTTTATTGATTTCTAACTATTTATTACTATTCTGCTATTCAGCGCNCCNC